TCTATCCTGGGATGGCTGATGATACCAACGACTTAAAGACCTTCTACCCAACATCAGTCCTTGAAACTGGACATGACATTCTCTTCTTCTAGGTGACTAGAATGGTTATGTTAGGAATTAAACTGGGAGGTGATGTGCCCTTTACCAAGGTGGGAATATTTTTCCTACACTGTACGTAAACCTTGTCATTGTTGGTTGTTTACTTGCAAGGTTTTCTATAGATTTCTTATCTGTCAATGAATTTAATGCTATGCAGGTTTATTTGCACCCTATGATACGTGATGCGCATGGCCGTAAGATGTCAAAGTCTCTGGGAAATGTAATTGATCCTCTTGAAGTAATAAATGGCATATCCCTTGAAGTTGTTAAGTGAAACTGCAACATTGTTTTGTCCTTTCAGTTAAATAAAATCAATTTGGATTTCCAACCAGTTGTTGGTTATCGACTATGGTGTAACAAGCTTTGGAATGCTGTACGATTTGGATTGACCAAACTTGGAGATGATTACGCACCTCCATCAACCATAAATCCAGAGACAATGCCTTTGGGTTGCAATTGGATTCTTTCAGTGCTGAATAAAGTTATAAAAAAAAAAAAAAGTAGAGTCCTTGAATTCATACGAGTTTTCAGATGCAGCCAGCACTGTGTATTCATGGTGGCAATATCAGTTTTGTGATCTTTTCATCAAAGCAATCAAGCCTTACTTTGCTGGAGATTATCTGGCATTTTCCTCTGAAAGGAGATGTGCAAAAGATGCTCTTTGGCTGTGTCTTGAAACTGGTCTACGCTTGCTTCATCCTTTTATGCCATTTCTTACTGTAGAATTGTGGCAGCGCCTACCTGGTGCAAGGGACCTTGCAAGAAAAGAGGCCATAATGATGTGCGAGTATCCATCACCTGTAGAGGTAATTTAATTTAAGTAGCCACGTCTGAGTAAGTTTCATTTGGTTCTTAACCTTTACTCTTACAACATCGCAGCTAATCAAATATGTTTGTGTTTTCTTATAATTTTTTTATCTAACTTCAAGATTTTAGAATTTAAATGAATTTTTATCAGTAGTATACATAGCACCAAAGATCTGTTGGAGAAATAGGGTAGAAAATCTACAAATGGCTTCAAGGCGTGCTGCAAATGCCACTTTCTTTCAGGTTAATCTCGTCCCCACTAGATCTGGTATGCAAAAGGGGTAACTTGAAATGTCCGTAAGATACAATGAAGCACCTTGTTGATCTTGCCTTTGCACTAGCAAGATCAACCACTGAACCATCTTTTGGAAAGCAATAAAACAATAGCTTTTGTATAGAGATTTCTGCAACAATCGAAGTGCAAAAATGGGCTGTTTTACTTAGATAATAGTAGGGGTTTGTTTCTGGGTTCAAGAGACGAAGAAGAAATAGAAGAGATAACTTCATATTTATAGGGACAAGATGTCTGTTGGAAACAAACGCTCTTTTTCAGTTTATTATCAGTTTATTAATGGATAATAACTGAGTTTTCATGAAATTTATTCATTGGAAACTCTTCCAAAAGTCATTTAATTTGATTTGAACTCCAACTCATGTGTTTCCTTGCCTTCCAAAGTTATCCACTCTCTTCAGAAACTTATTAGAATTTTATCTATTATTTATGACGTAAATGGCTCGAACCAGATAATAAATGTGGTTTGAATCAAAATCGTAACTTTCCGGGTTCTAGTTTTATGTAAATGGTTCAAACCATAATTATATGATTCGAACCAAAGTTACACTTTCTCAAATGCATTCTATGCAATTGCTTCGAATCAACTTTTTGTGGTTCGAACCCAAATCTTGAAAATATTTTGAAAATTCTTCAACATTCCCCCACCATTTTCAAAATAGATCAGCTCACCAATTGTTTTGGAAATCTTATGCATACATGAAGGTATCTTACGATTTGAACCCTTCACTTAGTGAACATGTGTTGGCAAATTACTCAGCATTGCATGGTAGACTTATGCTTTGAACCAACGATTCTAAGTAACTAATTGGGCACATGTCACACATAAGACTTCAAGCTTTCAAAGAAGGAATTCAACATCCACTGACACAAAAACTGGCCATGTGTTTTGTATCATTTTCATGAGTGCTATTAGAGTCAAGTCCCCAACTCCTAGAAGCAACACCACCTCCACTCATATAGGTAAATCCCATCAAAACTGCTATCGCATTAAGCACTTTAACAAAAATCTATTATAGGACCTATTAAGAGTAAAACTCAACCTCCTCTTTATTTCATACAATTATCAATGATGTACTTTACTCATTGAACTCAAGCCTTGAAGTTTTTAGCAAGTGTTAAGTCGAAGGTCCATCATGTGTGACGTTTATCAATGGACTTGAGACCCATCCCTATAGATGTTTTATATAATTTTTCTCTTGTTAATCCTTTTGTTAAAGGATCTGCTAAATTTTCACTACACTTCACATAGTCTATGGTGATCACCCCATCAGCAATTAATTGTCTTACATAACTATGTCTTAGACCAATATGTCTACACTTTCCATTATATACTTGGCTATAAGCTTTTGCTAATGTAGCCTCATTATCACAGTGTATTGAGATTGGGGACATTGGCTTTGGCCATAAAGGAATTTCATATAGTAAATCTTTCAACCATTCCCCTTCTTTACATGCAGAGTTTAAAGCAATAAACTCAACTGCCATGGTGGAGTCTGTTATGCAAGTTTGCTTCTTGGATCCCCAAGAGATAGCACCCCCACTAAGCATGAAAATCCATCCAGTTGTGGATTTATGATCCCCATGATTCATGATCCAACTAGCATCCATGAAGCCTTCTAGTACAGAAGGATAACCATTATAACAAATGCCATAATACATAGTTTTCTTGAGATATTTCAAGACTCTATGTATTACTTGCCAATGTAAAGAACTGGGATTACTTGTGTATGTATTAAGTTTCCCAACAGCATATGCTATATATGGTCTTATGCAAATCATTGCATACATCAAACATCCAATCACTCTTGAATATTTTAATTGTGCAATTGGTTTTCCATCATTAGATGTTAACCTTACATTAGGATCAAAAGGTGTAGAAATAATTACACAATCATAAAAATTAAATTTCTTCAAGACTTTTTCTATATAATGGGACTGAGAAAGGATTAAATTATCACCATCTCTATGAATTTTTATTCTCAAAATCACAT